AATCAGCGTGTGCAGCAATTAGCCACAACATTAAGCCCATCTGCCCGATATTATGTGGGCCCATCTAGCGCCACCAACGCTGGATCTCTAGGGGGTGTCTGGTAGTGGATCCTTTGGGTTCTGTGGGTTTGGGCCAGAATCAAAGGTTTCCCAGCAGAACATTGCGCTGTAACGTCATTCACCTTCTCCTGTCGGTGGTTTTAATGTTGTGGAGCTCTCATGACTTCCTGGAGGAATTTTAACAACCTCAAAGGTGGTGAAGTAGATCTTAAGTATTCAAAAGCTTGTCCCAATGATGTAATTACTATTATTCATATTTTAGCTGGAACACACACATAATTATTAGTATAATTGCTTTTTACATCAGCACACAAAGTGGCCTTGTTAGAAGCTTTTTTATTTTTTGGGAAGAAACCATTACAGAACTCAGCTCAGGCAGTCGGTTGATGATTTTAAGAGGAAAAGGGGGAAAGAGCAATCCTCTGTTGTTTTCAAAGTCTGTCTAGATGAGGCTCGGTTTCCTGACAAGGGGAGTAAGTCAGAGTGACTTGAAGGAAGATGGCGTGCTGTCTCGTGTCACAATGCAGTCAGTCGCGAGAACGAGACGCCATCAGCATCAATGCAAAGCAAAAAACAGAGAGGCCGAGGCGGACGGGGGAGCCGCCGGCGCCTCGTCTTGGAAAACAAGCGAGCCGGTTGGTAGCTTCAGATGTCGTGTTTTCCAAGCGAGCAGGTGTGACGGAGGTTGAGGAGCAGGTCGGGAGTTTAGCGAGCTCAGAAGCGACGGCGTGCTTTGAAAACTTTGACGGCAACATGCTTTAGCTGAGATCGATATCACATTCTTTGAGCCGTTTCTTTGAAATTACTTTGATTTAACAACGCTCATGTCATCATGGCGAGACGATCATCAGCTTAGTGGAAAGGAGCGCGGCATTAAATTTGATGGTAAATCATGGGAAAAGAAATGGGTTGCTTCAGTGTGCTGACTTTATATTTTTATAATTGGCATTAAAGCCACATAAACTGCAAGTTCAGTTGTTTTTCCGCCCTTTTTTTTAGAGCAGTTTTTGATTAAATGGAGTCACGGTCATTGCAAATGCACATCTGATTTATTTGGAATGAAAGTTTTGGTAAATGAAGAGTAAATCGCTTAATCCTCTAACCGAGAGGAGAAGTAATAAAAGCAGAAGTTGACATACTGTATGTGACATACAGTAACATCGCACCAGTCGTGCACGGAGATCAGTAACGCTGACGAGCGCTTCATCAGAAATGTGACATCCTGGCACTTGATTGACACTGATGGTCACATGTGATCTCTTAAGTTTTCCCTGTCACTCTCTTTCTCCGCAGAGAATAGACTTCGGAGCCAGAGGTGACAACTAATCTACATCAAAGGCTGAAAGCATAAAAACGCTGAAGAAAGAGCTGTTCCCATAAAGCAGCGCGAGGCTCACTCCTACACGCCACCGCCCGCCTCAGCTTCCCGGAGTTTTTACGGACTACGTGTTGACAAGAGCCGGAGAAGATACAGTTTTCACACTTTGACGGAATCGTGTTGGGAAGAATAGTGCAAATGGTGCGGCGGCACCTCCTTCCCTGTCAGCCCCACTTCAAAAAGTAAGCCTGTGATGTGTTTTTTCTTTATTTCTTTACTTATTCCTGATTTAGTCCTTGCATTAGTTTTAGTTTTGCAATGTGGAATCCAAGTATTTTCCTCTGTGTCTTGTTATTTTAACCCCAGTGCTCCTGATGTTAGCATTACATTCGAGTCACAGTGATGAACATCTGGAAAACATGAACATCTGTAGAGCTTCAAGAACCCAAGAAGTCAACAAGTACCACTGTTCTAAAAAATATATATCTATTGTTTTGTCCAAGGGCTGCAGGGTGGC